CTTTAAATGATTACTTCGTCGAAATGACAAGTTTTACAACCTTCCCAATTACAAGGCTTTAAGTAAGTGAATTTGTTAATACGCTCGCTATTATATCCTCCCTGTTCCGTGATGGTTCGTTTCTCAATAATGAACCCGCGATAGTGTTGTCCATCTAGTTGGCAAGAAAGAAATTGCTTTCCCGTCTTGGTTTCTACTAGGTCAATTAATAGGCCTTCGAGGTTTAATTTGGTTGGTTGGTAATTTTCTAACATGGCGGTTTATTTTCGGAAGCTTTTTTAGTGGTGTTTCAGCCGTGTTTCTTTAAGAAAGTTTGGACTTGGGTTTGTTCGGAACTAGTTAAAGGACGTTCAGAATTAGTTTTCTTTTCAGCTACTTTGGAACGATAATCTGGATCCGAAATATCTTGAACCGGAATTAAGAAAAACTTAGATAAGAAGTATTTGCTAGCGTAAGTTTCCGCAGCTCCTTTGGCTTTGGCAACATCAGTGTTACTACCCACAGCTCAAAAGTAATAAGTGAGCGGAGAAGTGTTTTGCGTAATATCCACTAGTTCGGCTTTCTTTAAGTATTTGACTACTCATTCTTTCTCCTGCTTACTAAAAGAAATATCAGAAGAGTTTTCGTGGACTTCGTCACTAATAAATAAGCCTAGTTGGTATTTAGCCAGCAAAGGCTTAACCAAGTCCAGAATTTGGGGTTCGGTAAAGAAGTTATAATTTTGGAAGTTATTACGTTTGGTTTTAAAAACCTTCTTAATCTCACTCTGAATTTGGTGAAGTTTGCAGTATATGCTATTAGCGTGATTAAGTTGGTTTTCTCCCCTTTGGTTGGTTAGTACGTTCATTTTTCATTGGATTTTAAGTTGAGAGTTTACAGAAAATGCTAAGCAAAAACTCTTAGATTATATTATACAAACAAGGGAAGAGAAAATGTTTAGTTTAGATTGGTTTGGGAGTGGCAAATAGAGAAGATTGACTTGGTTTGTTTTTTTTGCTTAATTAGACTTTGGTTTGGTTGAGTTGATGGGATAACAATTTCGGATTCAAAGTCAGTCTGAATTATTGCTTTCGAATCAAAAGATTATTCGATAACGTTTGTCTTGATAATAGCCTTCCCATCTAAATACTTTTCATCGGCCTTGATATTTAGTAGGTTCTAAAACCTCTCCATTTAATTCTGTTTCTAATATTTCTAAAATTAATTCGTTAGTAACTGCGTCTCCGTGATTAGTTTTGTAATGGTCAGTAATAGTGACTTTAATTATTGATTGATAATTGAAAATGATTTTTAATTCATAAGTTCATCTTCATTCTTCGGTAACAAATTGTTTATTAATCAGATTAAATCCTTTGGGCATGAATAACGGGATGTTCTACACCAATATTTACTTCGAACGGAAAAAGTAAACGGCTGGCATAAACTAGTAATCTATCAAGTGTGAATTTTTCAATACAACAGAAAAGGATATCCTCAGTTTCAGCTAGACTAAGATTAATTTTCTCGGCTATTTGCTCTCGGGTGAGATTATTAACTAACTTATAACCGAGGATTTTTTTGCAAAGTTTGTATTTGGTTATTTGTAAGGAATCGGGGTTTTTGGGTAGGCCATAATTTATTTCACGATTATTTTTTGGGTCTTCAATTTCCTGTAAGTATTTTTCAAATTCTTGGTTATTCATAATATGTTTATTTTACAATGTAAAAGTCTCGTTTATTTTTTTAGGAAGGGTTCGGAAAGTTCTACGGCGGCTAATTTGAACTATTGTTTTCCTTATCCCCAGTTAGAAAATTAAATGTTATGAATTACCAAGAGTTGTTAGTTTAACCTTTCCGAAAACAAAACTTCTTCAAACCAAGAACGAAAACTCTAAGCCCAAATACTTTCCAAAGAAAATTAATTTAATGGTCATCAAATCAACCAAACTAACCAACTTTTAAATTAAAGAACTATTAGACAAATACTCTAACCAATATTTCGTAATCATTAATAAGGATAACTCAGATGAAGTTTACTTTTGCTTCAAAAGAAAAGTTAAAGCGGGCTGAGAAATTTTAACTAGCAATTCTAACGAATTATAACTAGAATACGAAGAAAGAGAAGATAATTTAAATGGCAGAATTTATAAGCAGATGGTTAGTATAATGAAACTAAACGAGACTTTTACATTGTAAAATAAACATATTATGAATAACCAAGAATTTGAAAAATACTTACAGGAAATTGAAGACCCAAAAAATAATCGTGAAATAAATTATGGCCTACCCAAAAACCCCGATTCCTTACAAATAACCAAATACAAACTTTGCAAAAAAATCCTCGGTTATAAGTTAGTTAATAATCTCACCCGAGAGCAAATAGCCGAGAAAATTAATCTTAGTCTAGCTGAAACTGAGGATATCCTTTTCTGTTGTATTGAAAAATTCACACTTGATAGATTACTAGTTTATGCCAGCCGTTTACTTTTTCCGTTCGAAGTAAATATTGGTGTAGAACATCCCGTTATTCATGCCCAAAGGATTTAATCTGATTAATAAACAATTTGTTACCGAAGAATGAAGATGAACTTATGAATTAAAAATCATTTTCAATTATCAATCAATAATTAAAGTCACTATTACTGACCATTACAAAACTAATCACGGAGACGCAGTTACTAACGAATTAATTTTAGAAATATTAGAAACAGAATTAAATGGAGAGGTTTTAGAACCTACTAAATATCAAGGCCGATGAAAAGTATTTAGATGGGAAGGCTATTATCAAGACAAACGTTATCGAATAATCTTTTGATTCGAAAGCAATAATTCAGACTGACTTTGAATCCGAAATTGTTATCCCATCAACTCAACCAAACCAAAGTCTAATTAAGCAAAAAAAACAAACCAAGTCAATCTTCTCTATTTGCCACTCCCAAACCAATCTAAACTAAACATTTTCTCTTCCCTTGTTTGTATAATATAATCTAAGAGTTTTTGCTTAGCATTTTCTGTAAACTCTCAACTTAAAATCCAATGAAAAATGAACGTACTAACCAACCAAAGGGGAGAAAACCAACTTAATCACGCTAATAGCATATACTGCAAACTTCACCAAATTCAGAGTGAGATTAAGAAGGTTTTTAAAACCAAACGTAATAACTTCCAAAATTATAACTTCTTTACCGAACCCCAAATTCTGGACTTGGTTAAGCCTTTGCTGGCTAAATACCAACTAGGCTTATTTATTAGTGACGAAGTCCACGAAAACTCTTCTGATATTTCTTTTAGTAAGCAGGAGAAAGAATGAGTAGTCAAATACTTAAAGAAAGCCGAACTAGTGGATATTACGCAAAACACTTCTCCGCTCACTTATTACTTTTGAGCTGTGGGTAGTAACACTGATGTTGCCAAAGCCAAAGGAGCTGCGGAAACTTACGCTAGCAAATACTTCTTATCTAAGTTTTTCTTAATTCCGGTTCAAGATATTTCGGATCCAGATTATCGTTCCAAAGTAGCTGAAAAGAAAACTAATTCTGAACGTCCTTTAACTAGTTCCGAACAAACCCAAGTCCAAACTTTCTTAAAGAAACACGGCTGAAACACCACTAAAAAAGCTTCCGAAAATAAACCGCCATGTTAGAAAATTACCAACCAACCAAATTAAACCTCGAAGGCCTATTAATTGACCTAGTAGAAACCAAGACGGGAAAGCAATTTCTTTCTTGCCAACTAGATGGACAACACTATCGCGGGTTCATTATTGAGAAACGAACCATCACGGAACAGGGAGGATATAATAGCGAGCGTATTAACAAATTCACTTACTTAAAGCCTTGTAATTGGGAAGGTTGTAAAACTTGTCATTTCGACGAAGTAATCATTTAAAG